ATCATCATCATTATTATTATTATTATTATTAATAATAATAATAATAATAATTACAATGCAAGTACAAGTATTACAGTGCAAGTATAAACAAGAGATCACATATGTAATTAAAACTGTAGTTATAATATTAGTAAAAACTTTATAAAAAAAAAATGATTATTAGGGCATTTGGTTCGCCCTTGATAAACCATCACCGGGTGGTAATTTTAGACACATGTGCTCCAGAATTACTTAAACTAATTTTTTGCAATTGCCTTAACAAGACCTCTATGTGCAGATAAAAGTCTTATTTATATGGCCCACCATCTGACACATGACGGGGGCTCTTTGGCGTTTTAAGGATTAAATGGCCAGTTTTTCGCATACTTCTTGGGCAATCCCGTTAAAATAGGTCAACATAGACTTCATTTCCACACAGACACAAAACGTTCATACATCTTCCTGGTTCGACACATCATGCCAAAACCTGGTATACCAACCTCTCTTACTATAAAAAGGGGTTAGCGGAAAAACAAGAATTTGGGGTGGTGTGTAATGTCCATTTTACCTGACAGTAGGTACAGTACTGTAATTTCATTAAAATAATCTAATTAACTGTGTATCAATAGCGTAATAGTACTTGCTACAAACTTTCACTTAAGTGGGCATATTAGCAATACCCTTTCCAAAAACCGATGCAGTATTTTTTGGTTATGAAATAGCAAAACTCACTTCCTTCTACTGTTGATGTTTTAATAAACTATATAGCACATTCAAAAGGTAGCCCATATTGCACTCAACATTAATTTAGAAAAGAACTAATTGAATTATTAATTGTTTGATAATTGAAGGTTTTTTATGATGCCTCAAAACGTTGTTGTTATGCTATACTTAAGTTTGTTTGTAATCCTGTTTTGACTCTGAACGTTCATTTACTTACAGATACTTTGGTTGTGGACTGTGTATTCCAACATGTATTGAAAATGCTAAATTGTTGGACCTTGGGAGCGGTTCGGGTCGTGACTGTTACCTTCTAAGCAAGCTGGTTGGGGAAAATGGTCATGTGACCGGAATCGACATGACAGAGGAACTGGTATATACCTTTTATTTTAATTGACTGTTAGATAACATTTGAACCTCATGTTAATGCCCTCTGAAGACCAGATGAAAGTAAACATCTTATAGGCCTACATTTTTGTATAGTAGAGCGGTTAGCTACTGTGTATAGCTACAAAGCTAGTTCAAGGTATTATTATTGTCAATTAAATACAACAAGCATTTTATTTCTATGTTTTAGTTCATGTGCTTTAGTATGTGAGTTTTTCTTTACCAAGATGTCCATCAATCCGGTAATAACATATGAATTGGTATTTTTTTTTTTTTTTTCCCCCGAATTTTATTTTTACTGTTAAGCGCATTGAGGCTTTAGCATAATGCGCTATATAAGCCAAAATTATTATTATTATTATTTATTATTATTATTATTATTATTATTATTATTATTATTATAGGCTATATAGAAATGCATCCAGCACATTGAAATTGGTAAATCAAATTAATGTTTATTCACCATGTATAGAGAAACCAGTACAAGGTACATCATTGTTACTATTAAATGAATACACACCGGTAGGGAATGACCAAAAAGAGCAAAGTTTTATTAGATCATAGCCACCCTGTGTGAGGTGCATCTGTACTTCAAAACAACAAGGGCAACACGTGCAAGGGCATTCGCTAATTATATGAAAAATAAAGTATCTTAAAACTACATCGGAACGTAGTTTACTAGGGATTACATAATTGCTAAACACAATTTTGATTTCAGTAGTATTAAATACGTATCAAATTTACTTAATCTATCTATCAATCATTCAATCAAATCTTTTGTTTTGGAATCAAGATTGTCTATATTAAATTACAAAGTAATATATAGAATATAAAGAATTGAAATAACAATACAAAAACCTATGACCACTAAACAGCTATGAATGAAAATAACTTAATTTATCGTCTGACCCCACAATAATAGCAAATACTGACTTGAAATGTTTTATAGTAACTTTAATATATTATTATTTTGTAATTATAAAATTGATTGATTCTAATCTAAACCGATTGAATGGATTTGAAAAATTTTATGTAATTTAGTATTCTTTTCCAGGGGGAGAGTATCAATTGCCTCTTATGTAATTTGTCGTGCTTTTGGTAAATAAAACTAAAACTATAAAATTATGATGCATATGGGTAGGAGCCCATAAGTACGTCGTCAACGCACAAATGGACAGAGATCAGAGAATCTTACATCAACCTGCTTGGTGAAAAGATACATTTTTACATCTCGCTCATATAATAATGGTTACTGCTAGCTTATTTTAGATATGTTGATGGACATTTCTGAAATACCAGGAGTTATTTCACAATGAAAATGTTACTAGACTGTACTGGTAGAATCAGATGAAACCGGAAGTAGCAAAGCAACAGCTCCGTAAAACCAGCGACTGGCATCTCCATTGTACAAAACACACACATAACTTCTATTTTGTAGCTCATCTGTTGAAACCTGTGAGGAAAAAGGTTTAAAATCTCATTAAACAGCAAAGTCTCTGTTGGCCACGACTCATTGATCCAAAAACATAAAAACAATTCAATTCTTTTGTTGACATAAACTGACAAAACAGTATTCTCATATAAACGAGAGAAAAAATTACACAAAACACTCAATTAAGTCTGAAAAATCATGAACCAATAGCTTTCTTTAAAGGAAAGCTTCTTTAAAGCTTTCTTTAGCAAAAACATATTCAAGCATTTGTTTTTTAGAACAGCTTTAAAATAAACAAACTTTTCAAGTGTTTCAAGTGCTGCAGATATTCTTTTACTGGCTTTTACCTGCAATTTTAAGGACCCTATGTTGGACAGGTTTTCTCCTCAGCCGACTGTGTATCCTAGATCCATCACTGCTACTCTCCCATCTTAAGAGTTCATGTAGAATTTTGATTACCTTGCTGATTATTTTTTTTTCTTTCTCTTTTGTTTTTTTTTTTTGCAGCTAGATCTGGCCAGGAAATACGAGGATTATCACAGTCAGCGCTTTGGTTATAAGACTAGCAATGTGGAATTTGTATTAGGCTACATTGAAAAGTTAGCAGAAGCTGGAATTAAAGATAATAGTTTGGATATAATCGTGTAAGTTGGTACATCACATAGCAAAACAAAGTAAAACAACAATATAATTATAATTAGGCCTTAAAACTTATTTGAAACTTATTTGATATTTTAATTAAGAATTGTAATGGATAGTGCTACGAATTATTTAAGATATCTATTTGTTCTACAGGTGTGATTGTGATTGTAACCTTTCACATGAGGGTAGCCAAGTAAAACATGCGTTTAGTGGGTGGGAACTATCTGTTAAGATACTCTTTTAATTACTTTATCAATAATTTTAATCTCACAGATATCATCTAGTTCTCTATTTTTTTGTATAATTTTTACAGCATGGTTTATGATAATTGGGGCTTAGCATAAATTGCTATTAAAAATGATTGCTACTGCCACTGCCACCGCCACCATGATTGCCCAGTGGTGGCTTAAAAAAATTGACGAAAAGGGTCCAACAAGTCCGAAAGGGATCCAAACCAAGGCGCCACCTAGAGCCTAGGTCTTGCTTTCGGATTAAAATCTTTAGATAACTGTGTCTGTATCGATAAACATTTTGCACTTTTTGCTTTATAAAGTGTGAAACAATTTTTTTTTTAAACCGGTCATTTTTTTTATTTTATTTATTTTTTATTTATGCTCCAGTTCGAACTGCGTAGTCAATCTGACACCTGATAAAAAGAAGGTTTTGCAAGAGGTCTTCAAAGTTCTGAAAGAAGGAGGAGAGATGTATTTTAGTGATATGTATGCTGAAAAGCGTATTGCAGAAGACCTACGTCAAAACAAAGTTCTATGGGGTAAGGTATAATATTAAAATTACTCACTTGTCCTAAATGAAAACTAGTAAACTTAGATTGAGGCCCTAGGAGAACCGATGGCAGCCGTAGGGCGACACCACATGCATTGAATTGTAGAGTACACGTGGTGTTATTCTCCAGCACATTACTAAACTGCGTTCTTTAACTTGGACATGGACCGTGTTTTAGACAAGACCAACAGCCTAAATTGTCCTGCCAAAAGTAAGGCTGCTACAAGCTTTATCTTCCGTGACTATACAAACACACACACACACACACACGCACACACCCACCCCGTGGTAACCAATAGTTAACTAACTGTGCTATAATAAGACATTAAAATATTATTGCTTTAATGTTTCCTTGTAGGAGAAGGTTTGTCTGGTGCCCTCATATGGAGTGATTTAGTAAACTTTGCAAAAGACGTAGGATTTTCTCCACCACGCATTGTTTCAGTTACTCCTATTCCTGTCACAAACCCAGAGATCGTCAAACTTGTAGGTAAGATGCATATCCACTTATTTCCAGATTCTAGTAGCATCTTTACGAATTGTTTTTTTTTTCACACTCAAAATCTCGTAGATTATAATTAACAATGCTTAAAATCTTGTATCTTTACAGGCAACACGAAGTATATTTCTGTTACGTGTAGGTTGTTCAAACTACCCGCCAATAAAGAAAATGAGAGTGTAGTGGTCTATAAGGGCACTGTGACTGATCATCCCGACAGCCTTAACATTGATATTTCTTCAACATTTAAGGTACAAAGATATCAAATGATCTATAGTTCTAAATAGGCTCATGTGGGATTAATAAAGTATTGAATTAAGCCAATAAAAAAAGTTTCACCAGTAGGTTAATAAGCTGAGGCAACTACACAATCGACAACTCTAGTATGCAAATTTAAATTTATAGAAAAACCTCCATAAAGAAGAGCAAAAATACTATACAAGTTTTTGTCTCAGCTTACGTATGTCGGCCGTGTATCAAGCTTTCTTTCGATGAATGGCAATGACATGTCACAAATGACGTCGTGTGCGCGATGTTGCGCTCATGAAGAAGGTCATTGTAGGTATGGGATATTTCATACAATCGCCATGTCTTATGTTTTCTTGTGATTTTACTACTCTTGATGTAGCTGCTCATTGTAGAAAAAAATAGTAAAAGTATGGTCGATGAGCCTATCAATTAATACTTATAATAACTAATTGATGTAGATCATTGATGATGTAATATGTATAGAAATTCTGGGAATAGTTTAAACAATTATTTAATTTAGTTTATTTTAGGGTATGTAAGTGTAGTATAAGATTATAGTGTCCTGGGTACGACGTTATAAACTGCATCCGGTCGAGTCGTCGGCAACCCCATCCGGTGGTCATTAGCGGCCGCCGATTGGACGGTGAATGGACACCGAGCAGCATGAAAAAAACCCAGCTGAACAAAGGACGGATGAACTCCTCGCCCATTCAAAAACATTCTATAGAATTCTATAAAAAAAAAAAACACTATAGAATGACTATAGCATAATTGTTTAGAAAATTATTGAAAATTCTATAGAAATAACTATAGAAGCCCACTATAAAAAGTCTATTAAAAATCTATTAAAACTATATTAAAAATCTATTAAAACTCTTTTAAAAATCTGGTGGTCTTTAGCGGCCGCCGATGGGAGGGTGAATGGACACCGAGCAGCATGAAAAAAAAAACCAGTTCAACAAAGGACGGATGAACTCCGCGGAGCCAACGGCCAACCATGCCTTAGTTTAAGGAGTAGGTTTTTTAGTTTTATAATATAACATCAACTTTTTTCAAAATGTCAAACTCAAAGAGCTCGATGAGCATGATGCGCTATACAAACCCAACTATTATTATTATTGTTATAATAATGAGTCAAAAAGATTAACTGATTTTGTCAGCACCACAGTCATCTCTGAAACACAGTCATGAAGAGCCGAAGGAATAGGATCTAACTCATTAGACTTGATTTAGGATGTCTTAATCAGATTTATTAGCTCTTTCGTTGTGGTTGACTAAAAATGAAAGTTGACAATCTTTGGCAGAAGCACACCTTACCGGTGACAGCATGCTTCTTCTTAGCTTCTCCTCAGCTTTTTTGACCTTTTGTCTGATCTTTTGTCCTGTATTTTGCCGAAATGAATAAACAAAAAATATGAAAAAATTAATTAGAGAACAATTCATCAAAATCACAGAATAGGTTTCAAAAACTTAAAGGTGTATTTTTTGTAACCAGCTTTTTTTTCTTTTTTCTTTTTTGTGATGACAGGCGAATTGTCCTTCCTATGTTGACAGCACAATGGCGACAATTCTCAAATGCAGTCGCTATGCAAATGATTTCACCTTTGATACTGGTGGTTCATCAGAGGCCAAGAAAGCTTGTCAGCCAGAGAAACTTGTAAGTATTTGTTGGGGAAACACATTATTTGAGACTTATTTTAAAATCGTTGAAAATATATAATTCTGACCTGTGAGAGCCATTGGCGCGCAGCGGTTGCGTTTCTGCCCCTCTTATGGTCGGAGATTCGAACCTGTGAATTTCACCTGTGTCTTTAGGCAGGGCACTTTACTTCGTTTGTTTCTCTCAATTAAATTATAAATGATTACCTGGTAGATTATGTGGCATTTAATTGTGGATTAATGTATATCGGCAATAAATTGCAAGCAGGTTTGATGAAATGACTCGGGATCCAATTACCAGAAGTAATAATAACAACACGCCAGCGCCTTATATCCCTTTGTATAGCTATTATAATCCATGTCTTCAATAGCGTTATATCATAAATTAATTATAATAATGATAATAATAACAATAATAGTAAAATTTAATTTAATAAAATAAATTATTCTGTATGGATAGCATTATTAAATATTAGTTGAAATAGATAATAACAGTATTTTAGTTTTATAAAAAATAATTATGTAAAAAATTATCTTTTTTAAGTTTTTCTTTCCAAGTAAATATTGTGCAATTGATTTAATAAAGATTTAATAGCAGAAATGATATAAATATTGATGTATTCCCCACTATTTGAATTCTTGTTTTATTTAACGCATAATGCAAAGGGGGTGGGGGAAATCCGGGGCAATTGTCCTGGGGGAAAAAGTCTGGGGAAAATGTCAGGGGTGGGTGAGGGGAAATACCGAGGGAAAATGTCGGTGGGGCAACCAGCCTGTTTCCATTTCGTTATAAAAACAAAAACTAACAGGTCAACTATAATCATCAATCTTAAAATGTCCTTACAGGATTGTACGATGGATCCATTTGTATACCTTGAGAACAAGCCTGTAGCATCTGAATGTGGGCCTAAATAATGGAGAATGCTCCAAGGCTAGAAGAGGAATATGACCACACTCGATATCATACCTAATCGTGGAAGAGTAGCGGATGGTGATCATTTAACTTTCTGTTAATGACTTCACCCAACTTTTATCTTACTTGAAATGTATTAATCAGTATACAGTAGATATATCAGGGGCAGATCTAGTTTCATATTTAGAGGGGGGGGGGGTTAGACTTTTTTCAAAAAAACGCCAAAAAAGGGGGTCAGGGGTCCTCCCCCGGGAAAATGTTGATCACTAGATGGCAGGAAATGAGCTTTTCCGACTTCTGAGGTGTCTTTTAATGACTTCTAAGTTCTTCAAAATTCAAGGTTTTCCCCTCTTGAAAACGGTCACGTAAACTTTCTCATTCTTATATCAGTAAATAGGCCTATTTATGTGTGTAAGTTCTTTAAATTTTAAGGTTTTCCTCCGTTTGAACGGTCAGGTAAACTTCTCATTTTTATTACTGTAAATACTAGTAGCCCTACTATGTGTGTATGTACAGTACATAACAAACATTGAGTCACTGCATACATATTCTTTTTTCAATAAATCAATGAAACCCCCCCCCCCCAAAAAAAAAAGGGGGTCGGGGGTCCTCCCCGGGAAAATTTTGGTTCTTAGATGGCAAAAAATGAGTTTTCCGACTTCTGAAGTGTCTTTTAATTAAAATTCAAGGTTTTCCACTTTTGTAAACGGTCAGGTGATTTTTTTTCTCATTCATATTACAGTAAAATAGGCCTATGTGTGTACCGGTACACAGAGAATTTTTCCCCAACGGGGTGGGGGCCAAGGACCCCCTGACCCCGACCCTCCCCTCAGATCCGCCGATGTATGTTATGCAGATTGTCTTAAAATGATACTTTCTGGTAATTTGTTTATTGCTTAATTTATGTTAGAATTCCATAAAATTTACAAGCCTTTCGCAATCAAGTAACAAGTGGATGGGGGTGCACACATCTAGAAAAGGGGTTTGTTCCTTTGCTTATCCAAAAGGTTACACTCATGTTGATACCATGGTGGAACGTAATGGTGTCATTAAGAAGTCATCTGCGCATGTGTGATGTGAGAACGTTCTCGTCACGTGGTAGAACGTAAAGCCTGTTTTCCACAAGGCGAATTTTGAACTGAGCATGAGCATGCGCATTTACATTTTCCATCATAGTTTTTCGCTTCAGCAAAATCAGTAGTTCGAAATGTATCTACTTTTTTTTTTAAGAAAAAAAATGTGCGCAGTTGTGAAAAACAGACTTCACGCATGAGTGAGTGTTTGTTTGTTTCTGCTATAGTCTGTTTCTGCTATAGTATGCAAATTTGTAGGTACACAACTCAACCTAGCAGTTGCATAGTGTAGGCACAGGCTTAAGATGTAAGAAACAGGGGTATCGTTTTCTACACTCAAAGTACGAATGCAAACGTACACACCCCACGTACCTTTACATTCACTCTTGGCATAAGTTTCTCAACTCAATAAAAACGGTAGCCTAATTTGCTGCTGCAGAAATCCGAAATAGAAAATAAACTTGGCCGCACGTTGGTAGCAACAAATTTACTGCTAAGTATCAGAAATTTCCTGAGAAAGTATGTGCAGATATACAAAGATGAAGGATTATTAATGTTCAATCAGATTTGTCAGATTTGTCTTTTTTTATCTATTATTTTAGTTAAAGGCAGTACAGAATAAATGAAAAACCAAATTGTAGGTTTTTTTGAGATTGTTAAAAAGTATATTTCAAGTACTAGTCGTTTTTCTGTTTAATACCGTTTTTGACTTAAGCACCAGTAAGTAACACTAGGTGAGGATGTCAGTGGTCCTTAGTCTTTAAGGACTTGTTCTTGTAAAGAGGCCACTGAATAATCTCCTGTTAATAAAAAAAAAGAAAGGAAAAAAAAATCTTCTGAAACAAACATGATCCTACTCTGTCAGTCAATCGTTATATTCAAAGAATATTGTATATACAGATAATTTTAATTATTATTATTTTAATTTTTATTATTATTTTTATTAAAATGTGCAATCTGAGACAACTGTACTATACTTGTATAGTTGTCTCGGGTGCAATGGAAAGAATATTTTCATGGGTTAAAATATTGATTGATGTTTCATCTAACGAGGCGGAGCTGAGTTGAATGGAACAGTCAATCTTTGAACGAATATAAATATTCTTCGTTTTTTATTCGTATTAAATATATATATATAACGAATGGAACAAAAAATAAACAAATCGAACTGAATTTTAACGATGAATGACGATATGATGTAAATAACCAATGTCACGTGATAGCAAATCCACCAATCAAATGACAAGGATTTATTTAGGTACGTTATAAATTGGGATGTTACATACGACACGGCAATAATAATATTTCGAGCTGTTAATTCCGCCTTGGCCTCATCTGGTGTTAAACAGAGGGCGGTAGATAGAATATTCTAATAATCTGGTGTTCTTGCTTGCTCTGGGCGTGGGGTCCATGGTCGAAGCCCCGGTGGTCGGCGAAATCCCCAAAGCCCAGAGGAGTTTTGTGCTTTATTGGTCTAAATAATGCTATAAAAGCAGATATGTTTGAAAACGTCTGTGTCTGGGTGGGTCTGTAGTGCATTAGTTGGGTTAGAGGACTTGTTTAGGAAATTTGAAGAGGGGGAGAGGTTCGCCAGAAAAGAGGTGGGGGAGGGGAGGTTTGCTAGAAAGGGGGGTTCTCCCGAAACATAAAACCCGCCCTGGATACGAGCATACGAGCCTGAATCATATGCAATTTTGTTTATACTAATTCCCGGCAGGTTTTATTAAGTATAAGGGTTTACCAAAAATTTGCGACCCCCTTTGTTTTAATAACACGAGCTAAAATATTTCAAAGGACTTTTAACTGTTGGCATTACACGAAAGTGTGTGAAGAAGGTGCGCATTCCTCAAATTTCATGTGCACGTACGTTGCAACAACAACAACAAATTCAAATTGTTTAGTTTTACGTAAGTAAATCAGCCAAACTTCTTACTCCTCCAAATAGTTTAGAGAGATTATTTCATTATCAAACGCGCACCCACAAAATCGGTTATTCTAAATTTGGTGGATAAATTCCTATCAACAGTACTAGCTAACACGATTTACTTCGCTGTGGTCGTAAAAGTCTGGCAGATAGATCAACAAATAGGCCTACATTCATTTCATTAGACATGCAGTACCCGAGATAGAAGTCTAATGAGATATATTCGCCTACTTTGCAGTAAAAAAACATAGCTGGTGTGGATGCAGAGGGGTGCAGATGGTGCGGTCACACCCCCCCCCCCCCCAAAAAAAAAAATTGTTGTATTGTATTGTTTCAAGGTATGAGAGTACAATTTCCAGGCACCTTAAGGCAGGCGCGGATCCAGAACTCTTCGCATCGTTCGCCAATATAAAGTGATAGCAGTGCCAGGTGGTCTGGCGAATTCCAACTCTTTCTGTCAGAAATGCCACCTACCTAAACCAAAGACAAATATATATAGACAAAATAAACTATTTGCATTGTGTAAGTAAAGAGGGACTGTAAAATCGGCTGCGCGATAATGTACGGTAAACTGTTGAGTTCTTTTATTATTATGATTTATGTCACAATGTATGGTTAAAACAAAATCAGTCACAGGGAGGATAGGCTATACATGTGCGTTGATTCTTATTGAAAAGCATATATAATTTTATTATATTTTGTTATTCCAAAATTACACCAAAGCGAAAACATATTATTTTAATTATTCATTTTTGATTAATGAATTATTATTTCATTATTTTAACGAATGCTATTCGTTAAAAATAAGAGACAAACAAACAAAAACAATAACAAAAAAAATGGAGTTTGTAGCCTAATTGTAGACCTAAAGCTTAAAACTTACGAACACACCTTGATACAGTACATCTACAAAAGAAAGTCAAAAATGACCGAGCACTGAGAGACTGAAAATGAACACGGAATCTGAAGAAGAGCAACGACGACGTAAATGTAAATTTCAAATCATACAGTGTTGGAAGTTGAAAAAGAAAAAAAAAATGAATACTGAGAAAGTGAGAAGATATCTAATAAGCGTATAATACTGCATTAATTAGCAAGTAAAATGTCAAGTTTCCAGTCCTGTATATCCAGTAGTTGGGGTGTTACGAAGAGTGTATATCCATCTCTACGCACCCAACCAAATTTGATAAGGTCCACATTTCCAAGACAGTCGAGAGTTCTGAATATAAATTTGTGATTTTCTGTAATTTGAAAATAAAATCTTAAATTTTTACATTTTAACCAGTAGGCCTAATCTACTCAGTCTGTCGTGATTCCGAAAAAAGGCAGATAGCTCTAATTGAAAGTGGTACAACAGTTAGGCCTATCCAAATATGATTTTAGCTTTACTTCATTATTTAAATGCATGTTACATAAGATATTTATGAAGCTTAAAAAATATATCGATACTTTTTGGGACACCACCCATACATAAAAGGAAGTAATATGGGAGATAATGAAATGGCGATGAAAACGAAGGAGGTGCCTGAGAGTCCACACCACCTCAGCCTCACCATGTTTGGGGCTGAGGCGAGAAAATTTTGAGGTGGAACCACTAGGTGCCCGGAAATTGTACTCTCATCGTCTTACTAAAATAGGCCTATATCAACAATACAGTACAACGATTTTATTTTTAAATCACACAGAAAATCACAAATTTATATTCAGTACATTCTCGCGACTGTCTTAGATATAATAGTATTATACGATTTTCATACAATTTTCATACATGTTCATGATAATAATTAGGCCTAATTCATTTTTGATGATATCGATGATGATGATGATGACGACGATAACCATGCCAATGGTTATGATGATGACGCCGATAACTATGCCGATGACGGTGATGACGACGACGATGATGATGATGCTGATAAGGAAGATGATGATGAACGATGACAGATGACGGAAATGACAGATGATGTTGACGATAATACAATAATAAAGAATATAACAAATTAACAATTTTATTTCTAAATAAATTGTATGTGGTAGTAAAAAAAGTTCAGTGATTTGATGCAATGTAAATTTTCAAAAAAAGTTAATGTAATTTATTGCAAATGAAATTATATGGATTAGTACGGCACGGTAATATACCTGAATACTATTACTAATACTATTTTTTTGTTGTTCCTGTGTACAGTAATGTTATTTTAACCCAGTAGCCTCCAATTCAATCTCTATTGCCAAAGGTTAGGCCTACTGTTGTCGAATGTTCTTTGTTAATGAATGAATAATCTCATAATGAATAATGTTGTATATAGAATTGTAATTTTTTAAATGATTTTGTAAGTGAGTAATTTTTATAATGAATAATTCTATATATAGATTTGTATATTCGAATGTAATTCTTTTAAAGTAATTTTGTAATGAATTTATGTTGTTGTATGTCTGATTGAATAAATATATACCTGAAATAAATAATAAATGATAATATCAATGATGATGATGATGATGATAGTAATTATCATTACTGGTTTCATTGAAAATTATTTCGATATTTGTCTTTGTACTCAGCGACGCCACCTATGGGCAGCATTTAATATTACGGTAGTAGAATTTTTTGAAAGAGCCTAAAAACATTCCCATCATCCTTATATTCAAAATGGCAGCAATTCAGAAAGTAGCAAACGTCGCCCGTGAAACGTTTAAGACTATTTTAATTGACAAAACATTGATAACAGATAAGTTAAATATACTGAAATGCCTCTGTAATGAAATAAAAGCGGCTGATTTAAACATAACGCTAAGTACACAAGAAGCGCTTTCTTCAAATTCTGCTAGGCCCAGTTACTCTAGGCCCCCTGTTTCGTACATGGAAATATACGAGGATAAGGTACTTACGATGGGTATCTTCCTCCTCAGAAAGGGCAGTCGTATTCCTTTGCATGATCATCCAGGCATGTACGGATTCTGTCGAGTTCTCTATGGTACTATTAGTGTTGAAAGTTTTTCTCACATAGATAAAGACATTAGCGAGTTGAATGTCCCAGAATTCGAAGAATTTCAAGATAAACCCGGACCAGATATGCGATTTTTAACTCCTACGAAACATAACCAGTCAGGCGAATTTAGTTCGAATACAGGTACGTGTGTGTTGTTACCAAGAATTGGAAACTATCACGAGTTAAAAGCTGTGGATGGACCAGCTGCATTCCTCGATATTCTTGCTCCACCATATGAACCTGAACGTGGTCGAGACTGTTTGTATTATAAATTGTTATCGGAAAAAACGGGAGATACTAAATGGCTGTTGCAAATCGATCCTCCGAGGGATTTTTGGTGTGATAATTTACCTTATCCCGGTCCTGAAGTTACTTTTGCAGAGGCACAATAGACTTCAAAGTAGCAACTACTGTAAGCCCATGCTGTTACTACTATACTGAATCAATAGATTTAACTGTGATACAATCAGAAATATTAACCAGTCTAGAGAGCTGTAATACAACTCTGTAATGAACTTTATATTGTATAACCAGAAAATGCAGAATGTTGATTTACAGTATTTGTGGTTGCCAAATGAGTAGGCCTGGACATAAAGAAAACCTACTGCCTGAGATTAGGTTTTATTGATTAAAATATGTTAATTTTGTTAATTTTATTTTTTCATTGTTGATAATATTTAATTAATCTAGCAACTGAATTTTAAATTCTATTAGGTTTATAGGCCGTTTATGTACATACAGTACAGTATATGAAATTATTGAATATATTTTTATGATTTGTACATTGAAATATCCTTATAATAAACAAATTAAGATTTCAAGTTACTTGAGTTTCTGTAGCTTAAATACTAAACTCTAGTTTGTTCCAACTCCAGTCCAACTAAACTACCCCACACCCCAAGAAAATATTCATTCCTTTGGTGGGGTTTGGAAATGCATTTTCACCGGCACTGTAGAAGTTTCCTGAATTATTATTATTATTAAATATTGTGTAAGTTCTGTTATTAGTGTTAAATTTCTTCAAATTTCACGATTTTTCTGTGTTAATACCATATTAATGATGTACATATTATGTGAGAATTTGATCTTTAAATGTGAGACAGACCCCCATTTTTTTTAGAACCAGAATTTATATAACGCCTATCACAATCCGCAGATTATACGAGGATTGTTTCCCTGGTCACTGGATACCGAGTTGGCAAATCCGCACGCGATTTTTTTTTCCGTACGAAACATTTACATAAAATTCCACTCGGGCCGTCTCGGCTAAATCGACCCGAAAATATCATTGCAGAATTCAGGAGGTCAAAAGGTCATCAATAGATAAACGTCTACAGAACAACTAAGACGTCGCTGTCTAATTTTTAAAAATACATTGATGTTACCATGTTAATACCAATGGGTCGCTTAAAATGACATATAATATTTGATTAAGCTGCACGAGTAATGAAAAGTGTTATTTTAACTTGAGTTACATACTATGACAATTTTAATTTTTTAGTTAGGCCTGGGTTTTGCATAATTACCTAGGTCTACTAAAAACGCTTTCTGGGAAAAGCACAAAGAGTAAGGAAAAGCGCGTTTTTCTTCATCTGATCAAATGAAACAGAATGACAGTTATGTTAAAATTAAGAGAAGAGCTGAGAATAGGCAACTCTAAAATACTGGGATGCCATAAGACCTGCCAAAATGGCAAAACATCAAATGAATGTAAAAATGAGCTATTTATTAATATTAGGCATAGTAATCGGCAGGTTCTTGATTACAAAGCTAGACCAAGTTAATTACGTGTAATGCCGAAATAATAATAATAATAATTATTATTATTATTATTACCTGTACGTTAAGGGGAACTTAGACAAAGGGGAAATAACACAAAAAATATTCCCCTTGGGCTAGTTATTATTTATAGGCCTAGTAAATAGTCTGTACTGTATGTTCTTCATTTCAAGCCTTAGGCCAAGGTAATTAATGCTGAAATGATTATTATTATTATTATTATTATTATTAATTATTATTATTAGCTGTACTTTAAGGGGAACTTAGACAATGGAGGATTTAGAGAACAATTAAAAAAACGACGTTAAGGGGAACACAAAGGATATTCCCCTTGGGCGA